ATTCAGAGCCAACAGCTTCCATGAGACAAGTCCTAATACCCCAGGACACCCTAAAGAGTGGGGAAGTAAGGGGTGCTGGTGTGTAAAGAACACCAAACAGAATGGAAGAGGAAGATAAGAAATTAATCTGGCTCATACCAAAAGAAGGCTCACTGTCGCCCGTGCAGGCAGCCTCAGCCTTTCATCCCAGCAGGCCGGCAGGGTTCCAGAAAACACTGTGACTTGAATGTTAATAAATATGTAGATCCCTTATTCCCCTAGAACAAGCTCAATTTGCTTTTTTATTTTCTGTTCTGTCTGAGAATAAATGTATTAAAACCATGCAGGAATCTACCCCCCGCCACACACACACACACACCTCCAAGTCTCCATATGCTCTGCGGCCTCTTAGCGGTGAGGATGCTGAAGGAGGATTCTTGGGGTGAAGGGGAGCTTTCTCCAGGACCAGTTCACTTCTCAGTCAAAGCAGCCTTTCAAGCCCTGAAGAAAAGGGCAGGCAGATGCTAGTCTGCTTTTCTGGAGCAATAATTAGTCTTTCTTTAATTCAAATTTCCCTTTCTTCCCTACAAAAATCTTTTGAGGAAGGTAAAGGAGGCCCAAGAAGCATTGTCCTTGAAAGCAAACATCAGCCAAGCAAGACCCTTTCCTGAACGACCCTGCCTGCAGGGGGCGCGCGTCCCACCCAGCTCCCTGCCCAGTGGGGACAGTGCCTTTTTTTGTGGCCTCTTAAACCACCAAGTTTGTTCCTCAGTGTTTACAAAGGGCCTTGCTCATTTTGAGACCCTTTCTGTGTTGTTGTAGAAAAGAGGCGAACATACAGAGACGAGCTCATGAAGCTCTTCTGTGACTGATCTGGCAAAACAGTATACCTTGGTTTTTTAAAAGCCATGTTTGCATGAAGATTGTGCACAGAGGAGGTGTTTGGCTACATTTTACAAGAAAGTCTCCCCAGATGGTCAATTTTAGTCTTTGGGTCACAAAAAGGAAACTGTAACTGGTGTGGTTACGGATGTCATCTTGAAAAATGGTGTGTGGGGAACTTCCACAGATCTTTTTCCTTTTCCAGGTTGGGTTTAATAGAGATGTTTGTGAACTGGCTTAGAGCATGAGGGGTCATGTCCAGCACTGGCCTTGGCAGAGCTTGAGTTCCAGTCCTGTTTTAATAATTCATATCATCTCTTACCTTTGGAATTGAAGGCTGGTCTGCAGCAGTTCCATCTTTCTCCCTCAGGGACAGTGTTATTTTGGAGGCGTTTTCCTCACAAAAGTACTCAGAAAACAGCAGGAAGAGGAGAAACACATAACTCTTAATTAAGAACTGTCCTGGAAGGAGTGTCTGTATGAAAAAAAAACCCAGAAAACATGCTAATTACCAACAGTGACAATATCCTCACAACCAAAACACCCACAAGAGTAATATTTCACTTAGCAGATGTGTTTTGGGAAAGCCATGTTGCTTGTTTTCCAAAATGAAATAGTTTTATGTTGTATTTTATTTTTTTTAATATTTATTTATTTATTTATACAAGCACTGGGTATAGTCAGAAGCGCGGGAGGGTGAGAGAATTCACCAGAGCCAGAGCGGGGAATAGAACAGGCAGACTGACGAAATTCACTGCTGAGGGGAGCAGCGGGCGGCAGGAGAGGTCTGCGCACCATGTGGGACCCTCACCAGTGGCCGGAGATCGAACCGGCGCTGTAGAGGCTGCGGGCAGCTTTGCAGCCCAATGCTCAAGCGCTGCACCATCAGGGGAGGCCCTATGTTGTATTTTAAAACTTATCATTGGTAACACTGACTCTCCCTGTTGGTGTACACCTCTGAGAATTTGCACACAGGTAACCAACGCCACAGCCCAGTACAGCACAGTTCTGTAACCCCAGATAACTCCCTACCACCCCAGTCCTGGCAACCACTTAGCTGTTCTCAGACCCTGCAAATTTATTAATTCCATGTAAGTGATATTAATATATCATCGAGGAGGAAACCTTTGGAAACTAACTTTCTCCACTCAGCAGAATTCTCATTGGTGGAATCATTGTGGAATCTGTAGGTCAATTTGAGGTTAATTGACTTTTTCACTATGTTGACTTTTTTAACCCAAGAACGTAGTAGAAGATGTCTCCAGTTATTTCAGTTTTTGTTTTCTTTTCTCAGAATAGTGTCAGTTTTTTTTTTTTTTTAAAGATTTATTTATTTATGCAAGCACTGGGTACAGTCAGAAGTGCGGGAGGGTGAGAGAATTCACCAGAACCAGAGCGGGGAACAGAACAGGCAGACCGACGAAATACACTGCTGAGGGGAGCAGTGGGCGGCAGGAGAGATCTACGCGCCATGTGGGACCCTCACCGGCAGCTGGGGATCGAACTGGCGCTGCAGAGGCTGCGGGCAGCTTCTCAGCCCAGCGCTCAACCGCTGCACCACCAGGGGAGGCCCAGAATCATGTCAGTTTTACACACAAATCCTAAAGATGTTTCTTAGGATTTTATTATGTAAGACTATGATAGATGTTACTGATTCTAAAATTTTAATTTTCGTTGGTTATTGCTGATAGTAGTAGTTTTCAGTGGTGGCTGAAAAAAACTGCTACCCAGTTGGTAGCTTAAAACAACAGGAGTTGATTCTCTCACAGGTCTGGAGTCAATGGTGTGGCAGGACTGTGTTCCTCCAGAAGTTCTGGAGGAGATTTTGTTTTCCCCTCTTCCAACTTCGGCTGACTGCCATCATTCCTTAGCTCATGCCTCACTCCCCCCGCGTCTTGTCTCCATATTGCCACTCACCTGAGTGTCAGATCGCCCTTTGCCTCCCTGTCATAAAGACACCTGTGGTGGCATTGATGCCCACCTGCGTGATCCAGGACAGCCTTCTCATCCCAAAGTCATTAACTTAATCTCATCTATAAAAATTTGACCACATTAGGTAATATTTACAAGTTCTAGGGATTAGGACCTGCTATCTTTGAGGGTGACTTTTCAGCCCACTGCAGTAGTGCCTAGAAATCAAGACTGTGTGTGTGTGTGTGGGTGGGGGGGGGGTTGACCTTATATCCTACAACTTGAGTGCTAGACTTGTTTATTAATTCTAGGAGGTTATTTTTGTAGATTCTCGGGATTTTTTACATAGATAATCATGTCATCTGTAAATAGGGACACTTTTATTTTTTTATTGCCAATCTAAGATTTTCTTTTTCTTTCTTTCTTTCTTTCTTTCTTTCTTTCTTTCTTTATTTCTTTTCTTTCTTTTCTTTCTTTCTTTCCTTTCTTTTCTTTCCTTTCTTTTTTCCCTGATTACTTCTAACACAGTGTGGAACAGGAGTGGTAACAAAGGAAATCCTTGCCTAGTTCCTAATCTTAGTGGGGAGTCTTCCGTCATTCACTGTTAAGTATAATATTAGCTTTTATTTCTGCTTTGCTGAGAAGGATTTGTTTCTTTTGATTAGCATGAATGGATATTAAATTTTTCACATCAATTTTCTGCATTGATTAATGTAATCATTGATTTTTCCTTCTTTAGATTACTAATATGATGCATTACATTCACAGATTTCCAAATATCAAACAAGCCTTGTACTAATGGGACAAATCCCACTTCATCGTTTGGGATTCTATTTTTATACATTGTTGGTTTTGATTTGGAACATTTTGTTGGGGATTTTTATGCCTGTGTTCACTAGAGATTTTGGTCTGTCATTGCCTTTTCTTATGCGGCCTTCTGTCTGTTTTGGGTATCATGGTAATTCTGGCCTCATAAAATAATTTAGGAAATACTCCCTTTGACTTTCTGGAAGAGATTATGGGGATTTGATGTTGTTTCTTCTGTATATGTTTCATAGAATTTGCTAGTGAAATGTGGGCCTCTTGATGTTCCTTTTCAGAAGATTTGTTATAAATTAATTTTGGTCCTAGTTATCTGATAATTCCGGTTACCTATTTCATCTTGGGTGAGTCTTCATAGTGTGCATTTTTTTTGAGGAATTGATCCCTTTCAATTAAGCTGTCAAGTGCATCATGGGCTTTTTCTGGGTGTTCTGTTACTGTAGGGTGGCTGGTCACATCACCTTTTCCTTTTCTTGTAATTCGTGTGTCCCTCTTGTTTTCCTTGTCAGTCTTGCTAGCGATTCATCAAATTCATGGCTCTTTTAAAGAATCAGCTTTTGTTTTTATTTTCTTTTGTTTTCAATTTCATTGATTTCTCAGCTTTTTATTTTCTTTCACTTCTTGCTTTGGATTTATTCTGCTATTCTTTTCTGGTTTCTTAAGGTAGAAGCTCAAATCATTTGAAACCTTTCTTCTTTTCTAATGTAAACATTTAATGCTATAATTGTCCTTATAAAGGTTATTTTAGCTACATTGGACACATTTTGGTATGTTGTGTTTTCATTATAAGTTATTGTTTATTATGTTTAATGAGGGAGGGTTGATTTGCAACACTGTAAATGTTTTAAGATATATGTTGGTTTACACCGATACAAATGTATATTATCACATCCTGTGTTTTCATTTCAGTTCAAATCTTTTCTGATATCCCCTGAGACTTCCTCTTTGATCCATTGATTATTTATGTGTTGTTTAATTTCCAAATATTTTGAGATTGATTTCTAGTTTAATTTCATTGTGATCTAAAATGTACTTTTCTATAATTTCAATTCCTTATGTTTGTTAAGGTTTGTTTTATGTTCTGTATTGGTGAATGGGTTTTCTTTAAAGGGAGCCATATTGTTGAACTGGAATTTTTTTAAAAGATTTATTTATTTATACAAGAACTGGGGTACAGGTCAGAGGCGTGGGAGGGTGAGAGAATTAACCAGAGGCAGAGCAGGGAGCAGAACAGGCAAATGGACCGAAGACTTTGCTGAGGGGAGCAGCAGGTAAGACAGGAGAGGTCTGCCGCACAATGTGGATATCTCCCTGGCCGGCCAGGAATCAAACCCGCGCTTCAGAGGCTTCTTTGCATTCCAGCCTCTGAAGTTTGTCACTCACAACCCCGTCTCCCCTTTGTCTAGAGCATACAGGATGTGCGGAGTGATGATGAGGACGAGGATGAGGATGAAGAAGAGGAAGAGGAGGGAGCAGAGGAGGAAGAGGCTGCCAAAGGCAATGAGAAAGACTGTGTGAAGAATGGCCTGGGGGCCAACAGGCACCTCATTCCCAACGGGCAGCATGGCCGCTAGCAGGGAGTCCCGCTGTTCCCGGAGCCAGGGCACTGATGGGCTGCTGGACGCCAGAAACGTCCCCCACCCTCCTCCTGTGGCCACAGGACCCACAGAGAACCTCGATTCTGTTTGCCCTTCTTTCTAACCACGTTCCCCACCCCCCCAATATGTATTTAACAAAATGTTGTTAATTTGTGTTAAAATGTTAAATATAAGCATCCCGGTGGACTTTACTGCAGTAGTACTCAGGCTGGTCAAAGATTTCAAAGGTTTCTCCAGAGGACTGTTTCAGTCCTGGTTGTGTTCACGCGTGCAGTAGAGACAGTCGACTCCTTCAGGAGCTCGCTGTGAGGCAGACCCTTCAGCTTCCCTCCATGCCACCCTCAGAACGGGTTGAGAGCTTGAGTCAACCCCTTTTTCCAGGGGTGCCACGGAGAGCAACTTGTCTCCTGAAAATGAGTTAGAGGTGGCAGCGAAACGGTGGCAGAAGGACCAAGCCAAGGGACCAGGCTTCCGAGGCTCATGGGCCACTTTCTGCCATGGGGATTTATTTAAACCTTCCAGGCTGTGGTGCTTCATCTCTCTAATGGGAATGTTTGGTACCTGCCCTGCCTACCTCACAGGGTTAGAGTAAGGGTCAAATGGGATGATAATAGAAGTGAAAGTGTGTAGTCACCGGTGGTGTTCTTGTTAACTGACCCCCTTTTCACTATAATTCCACCTCTGGGAGGGAGAAATGTGCTTAAACTTTAGCACTGGATGTCTGAACCAAAGATGCAATCTTTAAAAATTCCTTATAAATGTGTTTGGAGATACCTGGAAATAGAAATGCCCAGAAAAGACTCCCCCAGGGTTATTCTCGAATGCCCTGGAATTCTCCTCTCTTGGGCACCATAGCCAAGGGGGGAGTCTGGGCTCCTTCCCTCTTGTCTCTGTTGATGACTTACTTTATGCCTCTGTAAGAGGAAAGCTTCCCTGCTGCTCCCTGAACCCTCCCTCAGGCCAGCAAAGGCCTGGTGTCTACCCTGGGTTTTGGGGTGGTAGGACCTAGGTCAGGCTGCTCAACCTTCCATTGCAGCCAGGATGCTGAGCCTTTGGAGCATGACATGCACATGAGCTCCTGACCAAAAGGAAATCTTGGAAACAGAAAGAGCATGCTGCACTCTTTCGCCTCTCCTGTCTAATCCGATCACACTGCATAACCAAAAGCCTGAACAACCATCGCCAAAAGGCCAGAAATACCCCTGAGAACTGTGGAGGGTCAGGTGCTAGCAGCAGCAGCAGCTCCTGGGGCAGCCACCTAACTCTTGGGCTGGGTGAGTCAGGAGCCACCCTTGTCCCCACATGTCCCGAGTCCAGTGTGCACAGCAGGCCCGGAGAGAGACTTGTCAGGTTTCCACAAATGAGGCAGACTCAGCCCTGCAGAGGAAGAGCCCAGCAGGACACGCACACCCCCTGCCCCAGCCGCTCTCAGGTGTTGGCCCTGTTCTGCACCTTCCTCCTGTTTTGCTCAGGATCTGTATTATAAAGTCAAGAGGGAGGCTGGACTCCAGGGACTAGAAAATACCCACAGGGCGCCAGCGATGCAGGCCTGGACCTGGCAGGGCGCCGCTTCACAGTAAGGTGCTGCGCCAGGCTGAACAAAAATCAAAAACTTCAGAATTCCTTCCCCAATCAAATCTCCTTTTGAGGAATAGTTAGAAGAACAGAAAAATAGTTGTCAAGTTCTCTGCACCCTACTTGCTTTTTGCGTACAAGGACAAGCGCATAGAATGCATAATGTGATAGGACAAATCTCTAATGCCTGCCTTCACGGTAGGGCACAGCTAGTGAACAATTATTCATATTACATTATTGCTGTTGTTGTTATTGTTATTATTTCTGGTGGAAGAAGATGACACTAAGATATTATTTTTTGTGTTTCCAGTTAACATTACTTTCTCCTTCATTTATTTTGGTCTTGTCTCTGTAACAAATATCTTCTTGCTTAAGGTAAAGAAAAAGTTTATTTGCTTTTCTATTCTCCAGGGTTTTATTCCCCCCTTCTTATTTAAATAACTAAGGTACAACTGATATGCCAATTTCAACCATCTCTCATACAGCTGGAAGCATTAAAATACCTCAGGAGAGGCAGAGAGGTATTTTTGCAATATCCTTTAGGACTTTTGTGATTAATTTTAAAAGCAGCCTTTCTTTCTGCAGGAAACAAAGCTCAGGACTACACCAGATGACTTTATAAAGTGCAGTCCACCATGCCACCAATATTATTGTCATGCAAATGACTTAAAGTAAAAGGAAGACAGAATCTAGCAGGCCTGGTGATTGAGTAGATTCAGAAGACACTTTGCTTGGCTGCTTAGAGGTCATTATTGATCCCTCCGTGTACTGGAAATAAAGATTTGCCAGTCCTCTAGAACAGCCGTGCCAGGCATCAGAGAGGACAAACAAGAGTATAGAGCCAGGTTCTGACACCAGGGCTGCTGGCCTTGGGCACCAAACAGGACCCCATAAAGGCATCTGACTTCAGGACCAGGCCTCTCTTAAGAGGGGTACACCTCTGGCTGTGTACACACAGTGTAGACAGGCAGACATCTGGGGCTGGAGTCTAACTTGGGTCATATAGCTGGCCCCTGGGCGCAAGGCTCTGTTGACACACTAAGAAAGTGGACTGATCCTGAAGGACTTTTCTCAGACAGCTTTTCTGTCCCTACCCTGCAGAAGTGGAGAAGGAAGTAGGATCCAGATCGATGGCTCCAAGGGTTGTCCATCAGAATTACTTACGGAATATACAAATATAACTCATTGCCTATCCCACATTTTGATTCAATTCTTCTGGGGTAAGAAATAAAGACTGCATTTCAGCTATGCCTAGGACACTGCAGAACCCCCACCTCACGTTACTCCTCTAGCAGCTTATCACATTGATAACTGAGAAAATGCAGTGATTCGGAATGTATTTTAATCCAAAATACATTCAAATAAAATAGGAACGAAGACAAGGAAACATTAGAGTAAGCAAGACACATATTTAGAGTTTTGCATTGGGTAGTACAGTGGGGGATTTAAACCCCAATTTATCAGCAATTACATGTAAATATAAAAACAAAGAGGCCAGATTAGATATTAAAAAAAATCAACTCCATGCCACCTATAAGGGATGCACCATAAATATAAGGAAAAGTCTATGTTGAAGAGAGAGGGGGCAGTTGGGAACAATGGATGTATTTTTAAAATAGTATAAACTGGACAGTTTTTTTTTATATATTTCAGTCAATGTGAAATCCCTTAGGAATACTTTTGTGCAACAAGGGTAGGCTCGATGTTGGAAACCCCCTCGTGTTCTGGAATTACAGCCGGGCTACCAACTACTGAGGGAGGCCTGGGGCTTCCCACCAACCCTCTGGGGGGAGGGTGCTGGCTCCACCCACTGTCTCCACCAGCAGCCCCGTTTTGTTGAACTTTACTTTCTGGAGCTGGCATTGGGGAAACAACAGGCCTTCAAAGGGGGTTCTTTGGGGGAGTTGGCTTTTAGGTCTACAAAACAAGCCTGTCTAGAAGGGAATGCCCTGTCCTAGCTCTCACTCTGGGGTCCCCCTGGGCACCCACCTGGACCCTTTGGCAAAGGACTCTCCCCCACCACCACACCCCCTTGCTCTAAGAACCAAAACACAGTAACGGTGGAGCCAAGTGGTTGACGTTAATCCTCTCAGAATTTGCACAGGAACCCCCACCTTCCCCTCACGGCTTGGCTTGCTCCCCTCACTGCGAGCAGGCGGGCAGACAGCTTACTGCCCAGCTTTCGTGGGTCTCTGCCATCCCCCTCACCTCCTCATCAGCTGCCTTCCCTGGTCTCCATGAAGAGCCCAGGCTCAGCCCTAGAACCCGTGAGCCAGTCAGAGACTCGGGAGGGCCCTCCCGAGCGAAGGCTCCACTTCAGGGAATGTGACGCAGTTGAGAGCATGTGTGTCCTGTGTCCCAGGGGAGCAGAGCCCTTGTGCCCCCCCCCCCCCCCCCCGTTGTCTCAACTGCTTCCCCACAACCTGTTGCTCTAAAGAGGCCCCTGGCCTAGTTGCCACTCTTTGTCCTTGTGAATAAAACCCTCCACCAGGTGGCCCTCAAGTTCCTGTTAAGGGTGGGTGGGTAAGTGGGTGTGTGTGCGCACGTGCTTGTGTGTGTTTCATTTTTTTATTAATGAAGTGCCATTGTTTTGCATATTTGTTAACATTTCTACGTAGGATTTCCTCCTTAGGTGTGGTCATCCTAGCTCTCCCGCCACCTCCGTCATAGTCTCTTGTGCTAGAAGCCGGGAAGGGGAAGCAACAGAGAAACCTACAATATGCAAAAGCCTTGACCAGGCTCTTCTGGGAAGACATTTGTCCCTTGGCAGCTGCTCAGGGGTCAGGAATTAATCTGGGACTTGGGACAAAGGACCTTGAGGTCCCTGGTCAGACATTCCTGGCTGGGCCTCCCCTCCCTGTCCTGTTCCACTGGTCACTGTGCAGCCCTCTGGACTCATGGCTGACAGGTCTGCCTTTGAGATCACTCACAGGTGCCCTCTCTCTCTTACAACGGCGACATCAGCAAGCAAACCCTGTGTCAGACTGGACCCTGCGCCAGCCCCTCAGGTTGGAACAAACTTGGTGAGTAGACGGGAGAGGACATGCACCTTTCCCCTTGGGAGAGGCTGCTGGGTGGGGCTCAGAGACTCTTACTTTGCCAGACTTCCCGATGCTGCTGTTGAAAAGGAGACAGAATGGGACATTCACTAGGGGCCTAGAATAAGAACATGATCTTGGAAGACAGCTCAGTGCCCCTCACCCCGGGTTGCCAGGACCCCATAAAGGCCCCGACAGGCTCTTAACCCAGACCCAACGTGTCACCCTCCGAGGAGACAGGTGAACCTCTCCTGTCCCTTGGGGCATCCAATGACAGCAGGTGGAGCTCAGGTAGTTGGAGGATGCCCAGACTGGCAGATGCAAGGGGCAGAGCATTGGCAATTTCCCAAAGGGTTACCACCTGGTTGTTGCTGGCATCGCTGAGGGGCTTGGATGTATCAGGTGCTGAGAGTTAAAAGGCCACGACTGTCAGCTGCTGCCAATAGAAGCTGGCCACTCGGAAGGAACAGCCTTCTCACCTCCGTCCGCATTCCCAATACTTCCCAATACTCTCTACTGGCAAACCTCGCAGGAAGCCAACCCCAAGGCGGGGTCTGAGACATACCACTTGTGGAGACCCAGGCCCAGCGCCTTGGAATGGAATTTAGAAGGGGGATTTGGAGCTGAGAGATAATAAGTAAGTAAACCACGCAGTCTCTTGACCACTCAGCATCCACACATGCCCTTACACACATGTTAAAATCCCCTCAAAGTGCAAGTGGAAGTGAAGAGATAAAACCTACTGAGCTAGTCAGAGACTCGGGACTGAGCGAAGGCTCCATTCCAGGGAATGTGACGCAGCTGAGAAGCACTGAAGGGCCCGGAAATTAATCTGGAACTTGGGGCTATACAAACACGCACGTGCGCACGCGCAGACACACACACGCACACACGCGCACACACACGCACAAATACACACACAGCAGCAGCAGCAGCAGCAAGGCAGCCACACACCTGGTGCTAAATCCTGGTTACAGTGTCTGAGATTATTCCTAATTTACAATTTCCTTAACAAGTTCCAGGTATTTATTTATTTATTTTTTCCATTCTCTGGGAGAGTGTGTAGAAGTTGGTGATGTATATTTCTTAGATATTCGCTGGAAATCTTTGGTAAAGCTGGGCTTTTTTCTTTCAGGAAGGTTTAAATAATGAATTTCATTCCTTTAATATTTGTAAAACTCCCTCCAATTTTTATGTGTTATTGTCACTATTGTATTTTACTAGTAATTGTCCATTTTATCCAACTGTGCATTTTTCATCATAAAGAAGTTCATGGAAGCCTCCAAAACATCAGTGATATCTCTTTTTCACACTTGATATTAGTTCTTCGTCGTTTTGCTTCTTGATCAAACTTCCAGAGGTTTATCACTATTATTAATCTTTTCAAAGACTCCACTTTTGCCTTTGCTGGTCATCTATAGTGTGTGCTTACTCACATGGCATAATTTCTACTACTCTTAGGGGTTAAGCACAGCACTGTGAGGCTATTTGCAGCCTCTGCTGCACAAGTTCAATCCCTGGCCGACCAGGGAGCTACCCACATGGCACGGCAGACCTCTCTTATCTCGCCTGCTACTCTCCTAAGCAGTGTATTTCAGTCAGTCTGCCTGTTCTGCTCCCTACTCTGTCTCTGATGAATCCTCTCACCCCCTGCACCTCTGGCCTGTACAGCAGTTCTTGTATGCGCAAATACATACATCTTATAAAAAGGGAAATTTTAGTATATAGTGTTTTCATTTGAAATATTTTATAATTCCCATTCTGACTTCAATCTGACTTTTAGAATCTGTTGATTTTTGTGAAAGATCAACTACAGTTTTTGTTAGAGATATTCTATTGAATCTATAGTTTGAAAATACTAGTTAAAAATGTCTCCAGTCCATGAACATAATATTTTGCTCCATTTATCTAGTTCTCTAATTTCTTTCAATGTTTGTAATTTTCAGTGTATGAGTCTTGCCCTTCTTTTGCTTTACTCCTAAATATCCTATTAGTTTTGATAATAGCACAAATGTAATTGTTTTCTTAATTTCATTTTTGAATTGTCCAATGGTAACATATGAATACTCATCTTGCATCCTATCACATTGCCAAGTTTAAGTTAATCATGTTTAATGGGTTTTTAAAGATTTTCTATTTACAAGGTCATGTCATCAGCAGATATTTTTGCTTCTTTTACAATGCGGAATCTGTTTATTTCTTTTTCATGCCTAGCTGCTCTGTTTAGAACTTCTAGCACAGGGTCAAATAGAAGGGAGTGGCATGTGCGTCATGTCCTATGTCTGACTTTTGGGAGAAAGCTTTCTGTCTTTCAGCATTAATTACTGTGTTAGCTGTGGGTTTTAAAAGATGAACTTCACCAGGTTGTAGACCCTCGTTTTTACTCCTAGTCTGTTACGTGTTTTTATTATGAAGGGGTGTTGGATTTTGTCAGATGTAAGTGATGGGCCTATTGAAATGCTCTTGCAGCTTTGTCCTCT